CCCGCCCCGGGCTCCCAGGGCCAGCCCGGGGGGGTGGGTCCTTCCGATACGTTCCCTGCGGGTCCATTTTGGGGGGAGGGTAACTGGGGGAGGGGAGGCGGAGGTCTCGGGCTTTGAATGGAGTTGGGGGAGGGGAACCTGGAGAGGGGACCCCCAGGGGCCTCTGTAGCCAGGTCACACTGTTGCGAGGGTGGCTGTGGATGAATGATGGTGTGGTGTGGCTGCCCAGTGTTGGTGTGTGGTTGTGTAACTGGTTGTGTGGCTCTCTGGCTGTGATAGGTTCGGGTGTGTCCGCTGATTGTGTGTGTGTGTGTGTGTGTGAGAGAGAGAGAGAGAGAGAGAGAGAGCACTGGGTTCCTTCGTGTGTCTGTGTGACTGCTTGTGCTTGCACTGTGTGTGTTTGTCTAGGTGACTAGTTGTGTGATCTGGCTGTCATTTTGTGGTTCCTTCTGATGGTGTACGTGGCTGTTTTGCAATCTGGCAGGTGTCTGATCTTACGTGCCTTTTGTATGTGTGTGGCTGCAAGTCCATGTCACATATACCTGCCTGACCATGTGGCTGAGGTTGTAGATGGCAGGCACACTGTCTCTATGACTGGAGAGAGTGTTCATGTGTGTGACCGTCAGGAGTGCCTTGTAACTGGGGGTGTTACTCTGTGACCCATTCTGTGACTTTCGTTGTGTGGAGTGACTCTCCTGTGACTCTTAAATGTGTTGGCAACCTTGAGACTGTGGTGGTGACTGTATCAGGGTAAGGGTTTGTAGGGGGCTGGGATGTCTCTCTGACTGTATTTTGAGGGGGTATGTTCCATCCGCGTGGGTGTCTATGACAGGCCATATGCAAACTTGTGTGTGTGTGTGTGTGTGTGTGTGTGTGTATGTGTGTGTGTGTGTGTTTAGGAGTACTGAGGACTTGTGTGAATGAGCAAGCCTGGTTTGCCCAGCATGAAACAGGCACCCCACACAGTATGCTTGGATCTTACTGTGGAGTAGACAAATGTCATATTCTGAGGTGTCCCTGTGTATAGAGCTTAGGATGGAAGCTGTGGCTGGGTTGTATCTTGTGGGAGTACCCATGTGAGTGACTGTACATCTGGAACCTGTGGTGACCCTCACTCCAATATGTTACTCTGTGGAGTAGGCCTCAATGGAGCCCTGGACACACAGTGCCTACCCTCGCCTGCCTGGGCCTCAGTTTCCACATCCGTGCAATGGAGATGAGTGTCCTTGCCCTGCTAGCCTCCAGGAGTGGCTGTGAGTTGGTGGTGGTCGAGGTGGAGGCCTGTGGGAAGCCCTAGGGTGCTTTCACAGGTGAGAGCAGGTATCACTGCATTATAAGCTGGCTTGACTATAGGCTACTGAAGCCTTGGGGGTTGAAGTTATATGTAGGGTGTTGGTGAGAGGAGACTGGGGGAGGCAGCTGGGCTGAGAGGATGGGGGGTGGAGAGAGAAGCAGCTGGGAGAGAGGGAGGGTCTGGCTATCAGCCCATACCAGATACCTCAGCCCATGGGGGTGGGGTGGGGGCCCGAATGTGGAGGCCATGGTGGAAGGGACTAGGAGAAAGGGCCTAGTGGGAATGAGGTGGCAGGAAGCATGGGACCTCCTGGGGAAAGATGATAAAATTCCCTGAAATATGATTAAGGTGGGTACCAAAGAGAAGGGCACCCTTCTCTAAAACTGGAGGTGTCTCCTCTGGAGACTGATTAGGGGTTCCCCTAAAAGGTGTGGGATCTGATTAGAATTTTATAGAAAGTAGAGAGAAGAGACCACCATAGAATCTTTTGGGTCACATGAAAGAACCAAGTCCTGCAGGTTGCCCTCTGACCTCCACACAAAGGATGTGGCACACATGTACACACACGTAATAATAACTGTAACTTAAGAAACAGTCTTAGGTCTCTGGTAGAAGTCAAAGCCTGGTGTTAGACGAGGCAGGGATTCTAGTGGGCAGGGGCAGGGGCCAGAGGGTGGGAAGCAGGCTAAAGAGCAGACTGAGAACTCCATGAAGCCTTATGTACTCATGTGCCCTGGAGTTCCACTCCCTCCCTCTCCACAGGCCCAGCCTTCGCCATGGCTGGAGGGAGACCTCACCTGAAGCGCAGTTTCTCCATCATCCCCTGCTTTGTCTTCGTGGAGGTGAGGGCCTCAGAGCTACTCTGAGAAAGGGAACCTGGTTCCTGATTCTTCCCTTTATCCTTGCCCAGCTCTCCTGCTCCTGGCTCAGCCCTTTGCCATACTCATTTTCCCAAATCCCTGGCTCCAGTCCAGTCCTACCATCTCCCCCTCTGTGCCCTCTCACACCCTGTTACCCCAGAACTTTAGCTGCTGCTCCCTTTCTCTTGAGATGTGTTGACAGGGTTGGGATCAGAAGTGTTCCTCCCTGGGTTTTAGCCCCATTCTGCCCTAATCCACTCACACTTTAGGACTTCGAATGCCTGAGCCTCAGTTTCTTCATCTCTAAAATGGGCATAATTAATAGGGAATGGTGGCACACATGTGGCACGTGAACCTCGGCATTGCAAGGCTGAAGGAGAAGGATTTCATGAAAGTCAAGGCCAGCCTGGGCTACATGAGACTCTGACTCAAAAAAAGATAAAGACAGAAAGAGAAAACAAATTTCAAGGCACAGCCAATGTAATGCATACTTGTAATGCTAACATTCAGGAGGCAGAGGCAGGAGAATGCCTACAAATTCAAGGCTATTCCATAGACATGGGAAGTTGCAGGCCAGCCAGGACTATGAAGTGAGATCTCATCTCAAAGCAAACAAGCTAGATGTGGTGGCTCACACCTTTAATCCCAGCACTCAAGAGGCAGAGGCAGAGGCAGAGGCAGGCGGACCTCTGTGAGTTCCAGTCCTACCTGGTCCACAGAGTGAGTTCCAGGACACCAGAGCTACATAGTAAGACCCTGCCTCAAAACAATGAAAACAACAACAAAAAGCTTATGATTTCCATGCCAGCTTGAGATACATAATGAGACCATCTAGAAAATAGTAAGTAAATTAAAAATGGGTTGAGGATGTGGCTCAGTTGGTAGCTTGCGTAGCTTGCACAGAGCTCTGGGCTCCATCCTCAGCACTGAATAAACAAGGTGTACTGACCTACAGCTATATACAACTATGACCCCGTTACTAGGGAGGTGGAGGCTGGAGGATCAGGAGTTAACCCTAATTCCATAGAGAGTTCTAAACCATCCTGGATTACATGAGGCCTTGCCTCAAAACAAAACAAAACAAAACAAAAAAAACTGGAAAACAACAATAAAAACACAAGACAAAGGAAAAATGCACCAGAAAAAAGAAAATGGAATCATAGCTAGAGTTGTTGAGAAGGTAAAAATATATTCCTTCCTTCCCCTCCTTTTGTCTCTATTTCCCTCCATCTATCTCCATTTCCCTGTTTCTCTCTCCATGGCCTCATGGCCTCTGACCTGTCTCTTTTTGCCTCTCTCTGGCCCTGACCGACTGCAGTCTGTGTTGCTGGGCATTGTGATCCTGCTTGCATACCGCCTAGAGTTCACGGACACCTTCCCTGTGCACACCCAGGGCTTCTTCTGCTATGACAGCGCTTATGCCAAGCCGTACCCCGGGCCTGAGGCTGCCAGCCGAGCACCTCCAGCCCTCATCTATGCCCTGGTCACTGCTGGGCCCACCTTCACGGTGAGACGGTGTGGGTCACACCCAGGTTGGATGGATGCCAGGGAGTAGAAACTCCCAGAAGGGCAGAAGGGCAGATAGGGGCTGGGGGAGCCCTGGCCTTGAAGGCCAGGAAGATCCCATCTTAGTCTTGTCCACAGATCCTGCTGGGGGAGCTGGCACGTGCCTTCTTCCCTGCTCCACCTTCTGCCAGCCCTGTCAGCGGGGAGAGCACCATTGTGTCCGGGGCCTGCTGCCGCTTCAGCCCCCCACTTCGGAGGCTGGTCCGTTTCCTGGGTGAGAGATGCAGCCTGGGGTTAGTCCAATGGTCTTGGGGGGGAGGTGAGTTCAGGAACAAAGGGACTATTTCACCTTATGGCTCAGTGGGTACAGGCACTTGTCACCAAGCTTGACTGATTATCCAGACCCTCATGGTCAAAGGAGAGAAGTTATTTCTGAGTTGTCCTCTGACTCAAGATGTGGCACACACATACATACACATGCACACTCATACATAAATGCAGGTGTGCACAGACGAACATACATGCATGCACATATATGTAGATGCATTCACATATACACACATAGAGATACATGCATGTACCCACACATAGATAACAGCACACATACACAGACATACATTACACATAGACACAGACATGCAAGCACATACACATATGTACGTGCATGCACACACGGAGACACAGACATGCACACACAGACGTGAATAAATCGTGTGTGTGTGTGTGTGTGTGTGTGTGTGTGTGTGTGTGTAAAATTGAGATAGGGTTTCTCTGTGTAGCCCTGACTGTCCTGGAACTTACTCTGTAGACCAGGCTGGCCTCAAATTCAGAGAATGGCCTGCCTCTGCCTCCTGAGTTCTGGCATTAAAGGTGTGCGCCACCACCACCCACCTTATTTTTTTTATAACTTACTATTTTTATTTTATGTACATTGGTGTTTTGCCTGCATATATGTTTGTGTGAGGATGTTGGATCCCCTGGAACTGGAGATACAGAGACTTGTAAACTGCCATGTTCGGGCTACGAATTGAACCTGGGTCCTCTGGAAGAGCAGCCAGTGCTCTTAATTACTGAGCCACCTCTCCAGCCCAAGAAAATCTTTTAAGTGCCAGGGGTGGCACACATTTGTTGTCCCAGATATGGTAAGACGGGAGGTGGAGACAGGTGGACTCTTGGAAGCTTTGGGTCACCAAGTCTGGCCTATTTGGCAAAGTTTTAAGCCTGTGGGAAGCTCTGTCTCTAAATGTGAAGGTGTCGGGGGATTGACACCTGAATTGTCCTTTGACCCACACAACAAGCAGACATGAAGAATGCAAGCCTATGCTGGTCACAATGAAATCCTAGGATTTGGGAGGCTATGGTAGGAAGATCTCAATTCTGGAAGCTACCCTGGGCTACAAAGTGAGTTGCTATCTTCAAAACAAAACAAACCAAGCTGTGTGGGTTGGTATATATTCCTATAATCTGAAATCTCAGAAATTCTGGTCAGGAGCTACGGAGATGGCTTGGTGGTTGACAGTGCTTGCTGTTCTTGCAAAGGACCAGGGTTCAGGTCCCAGCACCCACATAAGGCAGCCCACAGCTGCTTGTGACTCTAGTTTCAGGGGATATGACACTCTCTGGCCTCCGTGGGTACCTGCATCCATGTGGTGCACATAAACTCATGAAGGCACACATACATATTCAAAAATAAAAATAAGAAGTAAAAAGTTCAGGCTAGACTGAAAGTTCCCAGCCAGCCTGGTCTATGTATCAAGCTTAAGACTAGTCAGGGTTACAGACCTAGACTCTGCCTGGGGGAGGGGGGACATGCTGGTTAGAGGGTTCAGGGGTAAATGCTGTCTCTGTCTGCCACCAAGCCTGACAACTTGAGTTCAATCCCTAACCTATTTGCTAGAAGGACAGACATATGTATGTCTGTCACAAGTTGTCTTCTGGCCACCATGCACATAAACATACAAACAAATCAATGTAACATTTAAATGTTTTAAAAGGATTTATTTGTTTATGTATTTATTTATTATTTATTGCCTGCATGGATATCTGTGAGGGTGTTAGACCCCTGGAACTGTAGCTACAGGCAGTTGTGAGCAGCCTTGTGGGTGCTGAGAACTGAACCTGGGTTCTCTGGAAAAGTTGCCAGCACTCTTAACCACTGAGCTATCTCTCCAACCCCAAATAAATGTAATTCTTAACAAATATAAGAGGACGAGAAGGGCAATGAGAGGAGGAATCCTAGAAACTTCAGTAGGGTCTTCCTAGGAGATCCCAAACTCCTGATGCAGTGGTGTTGAGGGGTCCCGGGATAGTTGTGATAGAGTCAGGAAGGGCTTGCCCTTGACACAGTTTATTTCTTAGAGACAGACTATAGATATAGCTGTAGTGAGGGACCCATGGTGGCACCAAAGGTAAAGGGACTTCAGCCCTGTTATCATAGGGTCCCAGATTGACTTCAGTGGTCATCCTAAGAATAGCAAGACAGTTGAGACCAGTGATTGCCAGAGGGCAAAGGAGCTTGCTGCCAAACGTGAGTTCCAGAACCTATGGATAGAAGAAAAGAACCAAATGCCGCAGGCTATCCTCTGACCTCCACACACAGCATAACTGTCTACACAAATAAGTAAATGTAAAAAGGAAATCTCGGCTTTTTTCAAGAGAGTTTCTCTGTGTAGCCCTGAAACTCACTTTGTAGACCAGGCCTGTAGATCCGCCTGTCTCTGCCTCCAGAGTGCTGGGGTCAAAGGTGTGCGCTACCACTGCCTGGCCTAAAAATTAAGTTTAGACCTAGACAAGGGGCTTAATGGAACTGTGTGGGGCACCCAGTTGAAGGGATATGACCTCTTTTCTCCCCATCGCCAGGGGTGTACTCTTTTGGCCTATTCACCACGACCATCTTTGCAAATGCGGGACAGGTGGTGACCGGTAATCCCACGCCTCATTTCCTGTCTGTCTGTCGCCCCAACTACACGGCCCTGGGCTGTCCACCTCCTTCTCCTGACCGGCCAGGGCCTGACCGCTTCGTCACGGACCAGAGCGCCTGTGCGGGCAGCCCCAGCCTGGTGGCCGCTGCACGCCGCGCCTTCCCCTGCAAGGACGCGGCCCTGTGCGCCTACGCGGTCACCTACACTGCGGTGAGGAGGCCCTGGGGGCATGCCAGGGGTCTGCTGGAGTTGGGAGGGGGTGCTTGGTGGAAAGGGAGGCCCCTAATTCTTACTTAGTTCTGTCCGTTGCCTTTCTCTATTCCCACGTTCTGTTGCTTTGACTTCTTTCCTTTTTCTGACCTCTGGAATGACTGATGTTCCCTCCTGACCACTCCTGTGGCCCCATGAGGCTCCGAGGTTACCTCCGGAGACCTGCCCTTAGGCCCTGATTCTTCTCCGTGGTTCTGTGTGCATGCTTTAATGCAGTGAGCATCTTTCCCCATCACAGGGAAGCCTGTTCCATAGACCCTCACCTGTCCTTTTTGGCGCTCTGGCCACACCACCTGCATGTAGAACCCCAGCGACCCTTGGAGTCCCTCCCCTGCCATCTCAATTCCAGGAACCCTTCTCTCTATTCTTGTGTGGTCACGTCTCCACCTCCACGGAGCCCCGCTTTGGATCCACTGCCCCATTCCTGGAGGCCCCCGGCCACTCCCACAAGCCTCCATTACTCTGACCCTAAAGGCGTGGGTTCATCCTCTGATCAGTTCGGGTCCCACAGATGTACGTGACCCTAGTGTTCCGCGTGAAGGGTTCCCGCCTGGTAAAGCCTTCTCTCTGCTTGGCCCTGCTGTGCCCCGCCTTCCTGGTGGGCGTGGTCCGCGTGGCAGAGTATCGCAACCACTGGTCGGACGTGCTGGCTGGCTTTCTGACCGGGGCGGCCATCGCTACCTTTCTGGTGAGTTTCCCTCCCACCCATCTCTATATGGAAGACCTCTAATCAGTCCCTTGACCCAAGAGACAGAATTACTCAACGATGCTAAAGGGTATATAGATTCTGCAAGACCTGGGGAGAGCAGTTGTCTTTTACTTTGACACTGACTGCTTGCTTGTTCTCATCTGGGAAATGGGTTGACAGGATCATGCCGAGGTGAGCAAAATTTAAGGGATGCCACAACACTCTGCATCTGAAATAAATACTATTTTACGGGGGGAACATGGCTCAGTTGGTAAAGTGCCTGTCTTGCAAGCATGAGGATTTGAGTTCAGAACTCTGGCTCCAGAAGTGGTGTGCTTGCTATCCAGAACCGGGGGGGGGGGGGGCGCA